ACAAAAATTAACAAATCGGGAAAAGTGAAAAAAAAACTCAGGATTTCAAGTTCCTGAGGAAACGAAAAACTGAAAAATCGAAACATAAAAATTGAGATACTGAACAATCGAGAAAAATGAGAAATGTAACAACGAAAAAAATTGACAAATGAAAAAATTCTAAATTGAGAAATTAAAAAATAAAAATCAAGAACTTAAGACCTGAAGAAACGAAAAATTGAAAAATAGAGAAATTACAAATTGAGAAACTGAAAAATTGAAAAACGAAAAATCGAAAGGAATATTGAAAAAAAATAAAGAAATGAAAAAACGTAAAATTGTGATATAAAATCGAGAAGATAAAAATTAAAAAGTTGAGGGTGAAAAATAAAAATAAGGAACTTGATAAATTGGGGAAAGGAAAAATTGAAAAATCGAAAAACAAAAAAAATAAGGAAATGAAAAAACAGAAAATTGTGATATAAAAACGAGGAAATAAAAAATTGGGAAAATCAAATATAAAAATCAAGAATTTGAAAAATTGAGTAAAGGAAAAATTGATAAATTAAAAACTGAGAAACTGAAAAACCGAAAAACTAAAAATTCAAAAATTGGGAAAGTGAAAAATTCCTCAGAAAATGAGGAAACGAAAAACAAAGAATTGAGAAACTGAAGAACCGAAAAAATGAAAAACTAATATCGAAAAAATGGAAACTCCAAAAATTGCAAATCGAAAAACCGGAGAAACGAAAAATTGAAAAATTAAAAAATTGTAAAAATGTAAAATTGACAAATTGATAAATTAAAATCAAGGACTTGAAAAACTGAAGCAAAGAAAAATTGAAAAAACGAAAAACTAAAAACTGGAACACTGAAAAATCGAAAGTAAACGGTAAATTGTGATCTAAAATTGAGAAAATAAAAATTAAAAAAATTGGGAGTCAAAAATAAAAATCAAAAACTTGAAAAATAGTGATATCAAAAAATTATAAAATCGAAGGAAAAGAAAAAACGAAAAAAAGTGATATCAAAGAATTGAAAAATTAAAAATTGTAAAATCGAAAATTTAAAAACCGAAACTTTGAAGAAACGAAAAATTGTGAAACCAAAAAATTATAAAATCGGAGAAACAGAAAAAACGAAAAATAGCCATATCAAAAAATTGAAAATTGAAATAAACATTTGAAAAAATAAAGAAAAAAAAACAAAAAATTGTGATACAAAATCGAGAAAATAAAAACTAAAAAATCGGGAAAGTGAAAAATAAAACTCAGAAACTTGAAACTGAAGAAATGAAAAATTGGAATATTAAGAAATTGTAAAACGGAAACATTGAAAAATAAAAATCAAGAACCTGAAGAACTGAAGAAATGAAAAATTGAAAAAATCGAGAAATTAATAATTGAGAAACTGAAAAACCGAAAATTATAAGCCGAAACATAGAAAAAACGAAAAACTGAAAAATCGAAAAAAATATTCAAAAAATAAAGGAAATCAAAAAACGGAAAATTGTGATATAAAATCGAGAAAATAAAAATTAAAAAATCTGAAAAGTCAAAAATAAAAATCAGGAACTTGGAAAACTGAGGAAACGAAAAATTGAAAAATCGAAAAATTAAAAATTGAAGAAACAAAAAATTGTGAAATAAAATCGAGAAAATAAAAATTAAAAAATCGGGAAAGTCAAAAATAAAAACGAACTGGAAAAATTGGGAAAACGAAAAATAAAAAATCGAAGGTTAAAAATTAAGAAAATGAAAAATCGAAATAATGAGAAATTATAACATTGAAAAGTTGCTAAATTTAAAAACTGCAAATCGAAAAACTGAAAAATTTGGAAGTCGAGAAAAATGAAAAATTGAACATCAAAAAACTATAAAATCGAAGAAAAAGAAAAACTGACTGAAAAATTGAATAAACAAAAGTCAAAAATACGAAAAATTATGAAAACAAATTGAAAAATAGAAAAACTGCAAACGTCAAAAATATAAAAATTATAAAATTCAGAAATTGAACAATAAAAATCAAGAACTTGAAGGACTCAAGAAATGAAAAACTGAAAAATCAAGAAATTAAAATTCGAGAAATTGAAAAACTGAAAACGAAAAATCGAAAAATTGCAAACTAAAACCTTGAAGAAAACTGAAACACTGAAAAATTTAAAAATCAAAAGAAATATGGAAAAAATAAAGGTAATGAAAAACGAAAAATTGTAATATAAAATAGAGAAAATCAAAATTAAAACATTAGGGAAGACAAAAATAAAAATCGGGAACTTGAAAAACTGAGAAAACGAAAAATTCAAAATTAGGAAACGGAAAAATCCAAAACCGAAAAATCAAAACTTTGCAAACTCAAACATTCAAGAAACGAAAAATTGAAAAATCAAAAGAGTTATTGAAGAAAATAAAGGAAATGAAAAAAACGGAGAAAATCGCGATATAAAATAGAGAAAATAAGAATTAAAAAATCGGGAAACTCAAAAATAAAAATCACGAACTTGGAAAACTGAGGAAACGAAAAATTAAAAATTGAAGAAACAAAAAATTGTGAAATAAAATCGAGAAAATAAAAATTAAAAAATCGGGAAAGTCAAAAATAAAAACGAACTGGAAAAATTGGGAAAACGAAAAATAAAAAATCGAAAAATTGCTAAATTTAAAAGCTGCAAATCGAAAAACTGAAAAATTTGGAAGTCGAGAAAAATGAAAAATTGGACATCAAAAAATTATAAAATCGAAGAAAAGGAAAACTGATTGAAAAATTAAAAAATGGAAGTCAAAAAAACGAAAAATTATGAAAACAAAGCATTGAAAAATTAAATAAATTGAAAAATAGAAAAAATGCAAACGTCAAAAATATAAAAATTATAAAATTGAGAAATTGAAAAATAAAAATCAAGAACTTGAAGGACTCAAGAAATGAAAAACTGAAAACGAAAAATCGAAAAATTGCAAACTAAAACAATGAAGAAAACTGAAACACTGAAAAATTTAAAAATCAAAAGAAATATGGAAAAAATAAAGGTAATGAAAAACGAAAAATTGTAATATAAAATAGAGAAAATCAAAATTAAAACATTAGGGAAAACAAAAATAAAAATCGGGAACTTGAAAAACTGAGAAAACGAAAAATTCAAAATTAGGAAACGGAAAAATCCAAAAACGAAAAATCAAAAATTTGCAAACCCAAACATTCAAGAAACGAAAAATTGAAAAATCAAAAGAGTTATTGAAGAAAATAAGCGAAATGAAAAAAACCGAGAAAATCGTGATATAAAATCGAGAAAATGAGAATTAAAAAATCGGGAAAATCAAAAATAAAAATCAGAACTTGGAAAACTGAGGAAACGAAAAATTGAAAAATCGAAAAATTAAAAATTGAAGAAACGAAAAATTGTGAAATAAAATCGAGAAAATAAAAATTAAAAAATCGGTAAAGTCAAAAATAAAAACGAACTGGAAAAATAAAAAATCGAAAAATTGTAAAATTTAAGAACTGCAAACCGAAAAACTGAAAAATTTGGAAGTCGAGAAAAATGAAAAATTTGACATCAAAAAATTATAAAATCGAAGAAAAAGGAAAACTGACTGAAAAATTGAATAAATCAAAGTCAAAAAAACGAAAAATTATGAAAACAAAGCACTGAAAAATTAAATAAATTGAAAAATCGAAAAAATGCAAACGTCAAAAATATAAAAATTATAAAATTGAGAAATTGAAAAATAAAAATCAAGAACTTGAAGGACTCAAGGAATGAAAAACTGAAAAATCAAGAAATTAAAATTTGAGAAACTGAAAAACTGAAAACGAAAAATCAAAAAAATGCAGACTAAAACACTGAAGCAAACTGAAACACTGAAAATTTTTAAAATCAAAAGAAATATGGAAAAAAATAAAGGAAATGAAAAACGAAAAATTGCAATATAAAATGGAGAAAATCAGAATTAAAACATTAGGGAAGACAAAAATAACAATCGGAAACTCGAAAAATTGAGAAAACGAAAAATTAAAAACTGAGAAATTGAAAAATCGAAAAAATGAGAAATTGTAATATCAGAAAATTGTAAAATTCAAAAATCGCAAATCGAAAAATTGATAAAATAAAGGAAATAAAAAAACGAAAAATTGAGATATCAAAAAATTGAAAAATCGAGAAAATAAAAATTAATAAAAATCGGCAAAGTCAAAAATAAAAATCACGAACTTGAAAAATTGGGAAACGAAAAATTAAAAATCGAAATACATAATGAGAAATTATAACATCGACAAATTAAACAATTTGGAAGTCGAGAAATTGAAGAATTAAAAACGTAAAGAAAACGAATGTATGAAAGATTGTGATATGAAAAAATTATAAAATCGAAGAAAAAGGAAAACTGAACAATTGAAAAATTGCAAACCGAAATATTGAAGAAACGAAAAATTATGAACACAAAGCATTGAAAAATGAAAAAAATTGAAAAATAAAAAACAAACACAAAATTGACATCAAAAATTGGTCAAAGGTAAATAAGTCCAGATTTTCGAAAAGTTATAAAATTTGATTTTGCGAATTTTATATTTTTATGACAACCTTTATAACATGTAATTCTAAAAACTATGAGTGCACCGATACTAACAAATATAGTCATTTTTTTGAATATTTCGCAGAGGATTTATTCAGCAAAATTTTTTAGACGACGTCATCCATTTTTTGGGAGGGGATAAACGAATAAATCTTCATAAACTTAAAATGTTTGCAAGATTTCAGAGCATTCTGTTACGCACTTTCAAAGTAAAATTTCAAAATGTTATAAAATTTTGATTTTTTTCCAAAAAACTGCATGTCTTGGGTAGAAACTCAATACGGATTCATAAACCACACGTGCACGCGTATCTTATTTTATAAAATTTAAACAATATTTGACGCCATTCTACTGTCAGTGGGGATGACTAAACAAAATTTTAATCAGTAGTTATTTCAGAATCTACACTACATTCCCACCACACAAAATTTAACTCAGAAATGAAATAATTACCACATGCACAGCTCGGACACGTTGGTCAAGGCTATCGGATAAGCTCCAGTGGCTTTGAGGTAGGCGATCACGTCAGCGTCCTCTTCAGCAATACAATTCTTCCTCCTCGCCAAGCCGGAAGTGTGAATCATTCCTGCAACCGAACACGAACGCCGCGTTACTGGAAGGTCGACGTCTTTCTCGCATTCGGGTGTTTATTTTTAAATCCGACAAGCGGAACTGAGCAGAAACCCTGGCATTTCGAAAATAAACACCCCACGAAAATTATTTATACCCTTCACCGCGATGCAGTCCTTCGTGGTGAACGGGACCCCCAAGAAAGGCTTCTCTTTGGCTAGGGTTTCCTCGGGGATCGTCCCCGATTTGATGAGATCATCGATAGCTTGAGCTTCTTTCCGAGCTTCCGAGTATCTTTCGGCCACCACACAGTTCAGAATTGGATTCACTTCCTCTATCCGCTCGATGAAAGACTCCAGGACTTGCACGCTGGTTATCTGGAGCGAGATAAAAAGAAATAAAAAAAGTAAGTGCGTTTTAACGGGCTGTAAATTGGAGTGGTTAGTGCAGTGGCTTTGCTGCAGAGAGGAAGATTCTAAATTTAATTTGTCGAGGATGGGAACAAAGGTGGGTGGAAGCGTCTGTATTTATGTGACGAGACTCATTTGTGCATACTGGCAAAACTGTGATAAAGGGGACTTATTGTCTATAAAAATTTATGAGGCGTAACATTGAAATTGCCAAAACATGGGAGTATAAATTGTCACAACAAATGAATCACTTTACTTTCTTCCAACCATTGTGTCAAGTCTAATTTGGGCAAGTTTTAAAACGATTGATGAAATTCTAAAATGCGAGTTCTTATTGTTTTTTTAATAATTATTATGGTTGTACACTAATCAAGTACTGCCGAAAATTACTAACAATTATGAAAGTGCTATCAGTTGCAGACGACCTTAAAAATAAAACTTTCAATATAAACAAGTTGGAGGTCTGACCGAAGTGTGGAACTGTACTTAAAAATTAATATTAATACTCATAAATTAACCATCAGCTCCGTTAGTTTTTTGTGACGGTTGTGTATGAATAATTCTATAAAGCACCTGAAGCGCGATTTGCTTAACAAAATTTCGTCATTCAGTTTTTGAAAAGGACCTACTTTTTCAAATTCTAGGAACCATGCAACGTCGGGAACATGAAATTGTAATGATAAAATTCTGAATATTAGTAGCTATGGTTTTTTTTGTAGCGTAATAACACGAATTTAACGACCCGCAACTACTAGAACCATTTGTTTTGTTTTATTTATGGTGATCGACATTGCGATAACTGTTTGATTGCCTACCGACAATCAGTGTGTTAACGATTTGTCGTGTTAGCAACAGAAGTACACAATTTTCGTTTGTGACGTGATGACAATTACCTGTCCACAAAGTCTTTACTTGCATATTTATATTTTTAACCTAGAAATTATACAGCAAAAGTTCCTTATTATCAATAGCAAAACAAGTCTTTAATAATGTGTAGTACAGTATATATCGTTTTACAATCGTGATAAAAACTATAGATAATAGTAAAAAAATCATGTTAATTGGCTGAACTAACCATAACCTTGAAAGAAAATGCACCGATGGGAGGTACCTTCCGATAAATATACATGTATGACGATGACGATGTGCACAGGCGGGTCACTAATAATAATAATTGAGTTCATATCCTGTGTAATGTTGCAAAAATTTCAAGTGCTATGAAACGAAACATACACAAATGTCAAAATTAATATTTGTGATTTTTTGTCAGGTTGGCAACATATTTAAAATTGTGTGATGGTATATCTGACTGTCAAATTGACATTTACGAAACCCAGTCATGTCAGAACCGTGAATTGCCATTTTAGCGTGGCTGCCAATAATTCAGAGTTGCCAACACAAAAATTTGCTTCGATGGTTAATAGTCAGCCGGGATTATGGGACTACAATTTTTTTATCCCCCCCCCCCCCCCCCCTTCTTGTTATTTCTTTCAGCTTTTTTTGCAATTGTTTGCCTTTTTTGTCGCTTTTTTAGCGCCTTTTTAACTAATAGTTTTTCGTTTTCTTGTCGCCTTTTTTGGATTTTTTGTGGAATTTATGACCATTTTTGGCAATTTATTGTCGCTCCTTCGCAATTTTTGGTCTTTTTTTCTCTGTTGATTCCTTCCAGGGTCTTTGTTGTCGTTTTTAGCCGCTTTTTCCGCATTTTTTCATTTTTCGTTGTCTTTTTTTGTCGGCTTGCTTTTATCCCTTTTTTTGATCCCCTTTTTATTCGCTGTTTCTTTGTTGCCATTTTCTAAACTTTCTCTGGCTATTTTTTGTGCCATCTTTTGTTTTTTTCCGGCGCTTTATTGCATCGTTCCTTTTTTTGGCGTTTTTTTTGTCGTCATATTGTGTAGCATTTTCCTTCACTTTTTGTCGTTTTTTTTTTAATGAACTGTTTTTTGTTGCCCCTTTTTCGGTATTTTTTGGTCGCATTTTTGTAACCTCTTTTTCGCCTTCTTTTGACTTTTTTTGTCGTAATTTTTCTGGATTTTTTGTCAGATATATTTATACTCCTTCTAATCGTTTTTTGCAATTTTGGTTCATTTTTTTGGTCTTCTTTTTGTCACTTTTAAATCACCGTTTTTTCCTTTACTTTATTTTTTTGTGGCCCTATTTTTTGACATTTTTGTGAATATGTTTTTTGGAATTTTTCTTATCGGTTTTTCGGTGCCTTTTACATTGCATGCTTTGTTTCTTTTTTCGGCCTTTTTTTGTTGCATTTTTCTTTGTTGCCCTTTCGCCATTCTTTTGTTTTTTTGCATAACCCTTTTTTTGTTGGTTTTTCCATATTTTTTGTTGTCCTTTTTGTGGTTTTCGGCACCTTTTTTCATCGCATATTTCGTCCCCTATTTTGCCACGTCTTTCTTTCTGGCCCTTTTTTTTTTGCCAATTTTTCTACTTCTTTTACCATTTTTTTTAGTAATCATTCTTTTGTCGCTTCTTTATCCTGAACTTTTTGTCGCCAGTTTGCCTCTTTTTTGTCGAGCTTTTGTGACCTTTTTTTCGCCTTCTTTTGTCACTTTCTTTGTCGTCTCTTTTTTTTGTCGTAATTTTTGCGGACTTTTTATTGCCTTTTTCATAATTTTCCGTATATATTTTTTTCATCTTTCGTTTCGTCTTTTTTTATCAGCTATTTCTGTACACCTTTTAATCGTTTTTTCTCAAATTTTGTCCTTTTTTTTGCATTCTTTTGTATTTTTTTTTAAATAACATTTTTGTCGCTTTTTACTTTTTCTGGCCCTTCTTGGTAGCATTTCTGGAAATATTTTTTTTGTATTTTTCTTATCGTTCCTTTTTTTGGATTTACTTTGGTTGCATTTTTCTTTGTCTCCCTTTCGCCATTTTTCTGGTGGCTTCCTTTGTAACTTTTTTTTGGGTCCCTTTTTTGCCGTTCTTTTTTATGGATATTTTTGGCCGCATTTTTTCTACATCTTTTGTCGTCTTTTTTGTTCGCGTTTTTGTGGATTTTTATCTATTTCATGTTTTTTTTTCAGTCGCTTTCTTTTGTCTACTTGTTTTTTTGAGCCTTTTTTCATCGCATATTTCGTCCCCTTTTTGACATTTTTTGCTACGTCTTTCTTTGTGGCCCTTTTCTTACGCCAATTTTTGTACTCCTTTTGCCATTTTTTTTCAATGCTTTTTTGTAATTGCATTCTTTTGCTGCGCTTTTATGACATTTTGTCGCCAGTTTTTGTTACATTTTTCTCTTTTTGTCGCGTCTTTGTAGCCTTTATTCGCCTTCTTTTGTCACTTTTTTGTAGTCTCTTTTTGTTGTCGCAATTCTTCTGAAGTTTCCGTTGCCTTTTTGATCATTTTCCGCATATTTTTTTCATCTTTCGTTTCGTCTCATCATTTTTTGTTTTCCCTTTTTCGATATTTTTTGGTCGAATTTTTGTGATTTTTTTTCCTGTTTTGTCGTGTTTTCTTGTCCTTTGTCTTTCTTGTCATTAGCCTTTGCTACTTTTTTGTTGCATTTTCTTGTGCGTTTTTCGGTGCCTTTTATCATGGCATGCTTCGTCCCCTTTTTTTGTCGCGTTTTTGTAACTTTTTTTCAATTTCTTTTGTGACTTTTTTGTCGTACTTTTTCTGGACTTTTTGTCACCTATTTTTATACTTCTTTTAATCGTTCTTCGCCATTTTTGTTCTTTTTTTTTAATGCCTTCCGTTTGCCACATTTTTAGATCAACGATTTTTTGTCGTTTTTTATTTTTTTGTGGCCCTATTTGTTTAACATTTTTGTGAATATGTTTTTTGGAATTTTCCTTCTTGGTTTTTCGGTACCTTTTTCATTGCATGCTTCGTTCCTTTTGGGTTTCATTTTTCTTTGTCGCTGTTTCGCCATGTTTTTGGTCGCTTCCATTGTAGCTATTTTTTGGTCCTTTTTTGCCGTGTAACAACTCTTTTTTTGTTGGTTTTCCCATATTTTTTGTTTTTTGTTGCTTTTTTTGTGGTTTTCGGCACCTTTTTGATCCAATCTTTCATCCCCTATTTTACCACACATTTTTTTATGGCTTTTTTTTAAATTTTTTTTACTTCTTTTACCATTTTTCTTATCGGCACCTTTTTTCATTGCATGCTTTGTTCCTTTTTTTGGATTTATTTTGGTTGCATTTTTCTTTGTCTCCCTTTTTTGCGTCTTTTATTTGTTCGTGTTTTTGTGGATTTTTGTTTCTGTTTCATGGTCTTTTTTTCAGTCGCTTTCTTTTGCTACTTGTTGTTTATTTTTTCGTGTTTTTTTCAGTACCTTTTTTTCATCGCATATTTCGTCCCCTTTTTGCCGTTCCTTTGCCACGTCTTTCTTTGTGGCCCCTTTTTCCGCCAATTTTTGTACTCCTTTTGGCATTTTTTTCAATGCTTCTTTTGTAACCACTCTTTTGCTGATCTTTGATGACATTTTGTCGCCAGTTTTTTTTTTTACATTTTTGTCTCTTTTTGCCGCGTCTTTATAGCCTTTTTTAGCTTTCTTTTGGCAATTTTTTGTCGTCTCTTTTTGTTGTTGTAATTCTTCTGGACTTTCCGTTGCCTTTTTCATCACTTTCCGCATATTTTTTTCACCTTTCGTTTCGTCTTTTTTTATCATCTATTTTTATACTCCTTTCAATCGTTAGTTCGCCATTTTCGCCCATTTTTTATGCCTTCCTTTTGTCACCTTTTTTTATTGCTTTTTTCTTTATCGTACTTTCGCCATTTTTTTCTGTTGGTTTTCTTTGTTGCTTTTTTCCATATTTTTTGTTCACGTTTTTGTGATTTTTTTTGTCTCTGTTTTACCGTGTTTTTTTCAGTCGCTTTTTTTGCGGGTTTTTCGGTACCTTTTCATCGAATGTTGCCTTCCTTTTTGGCATATTTCGACAATTTTTGTCGCTTTTTTTTATCGCCTTTTTGTGGCATTTTTTACCCTTTTATTGCCTTTTTGTAACCATTTT